CTATGGCTCACGAGAGAGGTCCAGAGTTAATTGCATCAACATTTAAAAAAGTAATAATAACGACTAAAGTCAATGCAAGACTTCAGGAACATCTGTTTAGTATCCTTTCCACAGCAGCAAAGAAAGACAACTATATTTATTAAGGCCACTCATGCTTAAATTCACTGTTTGTCCTTTAAAAATGCAGGTTTTCATCTCCCACTTGCATACACGTAGAAGGGTTTCTTCCATTGACAAGGAAATGGAGCAATACAAGAGTTGCACATGTTTGCCAGACTCAGTCATGAATTTTATGAAGTTACAACAATTTTAGTTGTTTTTTAATATTCAGAGGAAGCAGTAGGAGTTTAATTCTCCTTAGTACCATATCACTGTATGTAAAAGACCTCAAAATTTGGTCTTTTTCCCTGGCATGTGCTTTAAACAATGACTGTATCCACATACATGTTGTGTAGAGCTATATACAGATACACAGCTTTTGTGATTGTTCCTCATTCATCAATGTTTTCATGTTTGATGCTGAAAATGATTTGGATTCCATGTTGCAGATACATTTTCTTTTAAAAAAAAATGAGAAATGACCCTTCATTTACAGAAAATCTAAGCTTACACTGTTTGCACAGCATTTGGATCTTGAAATGTAAATGAGTCCCAGCTTCTTCATGGAGACCTGCATGTACCGGGATGGTAAGAGTCTGAGGCTCGGTGGCATCCCCACCACGGGGATGTGTGGAACACAGGAACTAGAGATAGGCAGGTGCCTCAGGCTTTTGCCACTTTCTGGTACATGACCTGGGTAGATAAAATTATGAATGATCAATTTAGATGTGCCATGCATTGTCAGAGACACACACCATGTTCTCATAAGGCGGTTTCTTGGCAAGTATTAGTGGTTTAAGAAATTGATTTCATTTCCAACCTGGCCCAGAGGTAACTACTGGTTACACCCTCAAAATGCGGTTCTTCAGACAACAGATTAAAGAAATAGAGGAGGGTAAAGGCTCGCAATTTTTGGTGTTTTTTGTTTCTTTGTCAAACACTCCATGCATTGTGGTATACAAACACTGCCAACACCACTCACTCACAGAGAATTTACACTTTTTGACAATCTAATACGTTAGGAATGACCACTTAGACTGAACCAGCAGGATACTGGAGATGAGGCTAGTTGTCCAACAGAAACTGAATCCACAGTTAAAATCCCATGGAGTTCAAATATATCCAATGATGTTTAAGTAACTTAAACAAAATGTTATCAAATAATGACATTCAGCAAAGATGATCACATTCAAAATGCCTGCATCCAGACACAAACAGAAGACATATCACTTTTCTCCTCCTCTGCATTCTTCCTTTCCAACATATCCACATCCATGAGAAATGACACGAGGTGATGAAGGAAATAGCGAGTAGAACAGAATCACACTCAATAATGTAAGTGAAAACTCCCCTTCCATTTTGATGAGCCGCTCCAGGTGGTGGTGAGTGATGTGAGCCGCACTGCAATAGATTATCAGAATATTGCTGCAGAGCTGCATGTTCCCTTTATTCAGCCCTTCTGATAGCTGCAACAAGAAAGCACATTAATTTAGCAGGGGGAGAAACTGGCAAAAACATCTGAGCTAATCCTGGCAGCCAGTTTCCCACTCTTCGCTGCTGCAGCAGCCTCTCCACTCTCCACGGTTGGGGTTGGGTGGGAGTGGGGAGAGGGTAAGGGGAAGAAACACAGAGGAAGGACAAAGTGAACAGAAAAATAGACTATATCCTGCAAGTGCATCTGAGAAGAGGCCTCTTTGAAAACATGTCACATATATGTATAAATGTCTCTTGATATACAAAAAATGAAATTGAAGGAAATACGCCAAAATGTTCCAGTGATTATTTCCACATAATCAGGCTACATGTCAACTTTTATTCTCTCTACACTTTTCTACAATGATGATGTTTTTAAAATTATTTTTTAACTTGACTTTATAGAGATTAAAGAAGGTTAAGATATCAGAGAACTTAGCATTCACTTAAAAAACATCTGAGAGCAACATTTTAAAAGGATATTGGATCCAGCAATTCTACTCCCAGGTATATACCCCAAAGAACTAAAACAGGGACTCAAACAAATACTTGTATGCAAATATCCATAACACCATTCACAATAGCCACAAGTGCCCACCAGCAAATAAATGGATAAGCAAAATGTGTTATATATATACAATGGAGTATCACTCAGCCATAAAATAAAAGTAAAGTTAGGATGCAGGGTGCAACATGGATGAACCTTGAACACACCGTCCTAAATGAATAAACCAGAAAAAGACAAATATGGTGTGATTCCACGTATATGAAATATCTAGAACAGACACATTCATAGATGCAGGTATCAGATGAGAAGTTACCAGGAACTCAGGTGGGGGAGGAAGAATGGGGAATTATTTGTCAGTGGGTTCAGAGTTTCTGTTTGGGGTGATAAAATAGATCTAGAAATGACTGGTGGTGATGGATTTACAACCTGTGAAGGCACTTAATACCACTGACATGTACTCTTAAAGGTAAAAATGGCAAGGTTTATGTTGTATGTATTTTACCACAATAAAAAAAATTTAAATAATAGTGGCATCTTCTTAAACTAAGCAGATTGAAACCAAGTTGGCTTTTATCCTCACATCCAATGCCCTGTGCACATGCTCAACACCAAACATAAATGCAGCAGTCAACCATTTGTCTATTTCCTGCCCTGGAGAACAGGTATCCAGAAGCACCCCAAGGTTTCTCACTGTCCCAGTGAGGGGCCCTGAGTGTGGACACAACTGCATCCTGGGAAGCAACAGTGCAATGGGAGAGCAGAGGGGACCCTCCCACACCGCTGCTTCAAATGAGGCTTTCTCCCTGCTGATGTTCAACTTCGTATGTCTGTGCCATTTTCATTCACATATGGCCGTGAGTGCTTCAGGGTTTCCAGGCACATGAGTTCAGCTATCTGGGAAATACGGCAGGCAGGGGAAAGATCAAACACACACACACACACACACACACACTCATGTACACACAAGTCACCTTTTATATATACCCTGAGCTGTCTCATTTGGTGGTTGATATGCAGCATTTTTCGAGTTATACCGACTAACAAGAACTCCAAAGATCCCAGTGTCTGCACAGGTAGGCAGCTATTTCAAGCCATCATTAAGTAGTGCAAATGAAATATGTGGCTTGGATGAACCCTGCTAATTCATACTCTGAGGAGTTTGGTGTAACCCTTCTGGTTAGGAAACTTGAATCGGGGCAAAAAAATGACTTTTGCAGAGCCAGAAAGTTAGGGAGTTCCTAGAGCAGATCATATTACTCATTCTGGCACATAAACTCTCTGCAAACTTTGTATGAAAATTGTAAGTCAGAGCACGCTTTCTGTTTCAAGAGCGGTGCATAGCTCTAATTCTTTTGTGCATTAAGCATTTCTTAATCATCCTTTTAAAGGGCTGACCAATATATTAAAAGGCCACATGATTAAAAGGTAAAGAGAAACCCAAAGTAGTATTAAAATGCACCAGTCATTTTTTTTTTTTTTTCACAGATGGGGAAATGAGTGAAAAATAATTACAGTGAATGTCTGATGTCCTTGATGTTTTTCCAAGATAAAGTAGCAAAGAACAATCATTCATTCAGTTGTGAAAGATTTCCAGCTGAGCAACAGGTCACAAACCAGAATACAAAGGCTCACAATTGTAACACACTGCTTTGGGTAAGGTTTATGCTGGAGACAAGAGAATTCTCAAAAAGTGTAGCCATTCCTTCAATCAAACAATCCATTCACGAGGAGGCCTAAATGGCTTTGAGGAAAAAAAGAAAAACAACAATGAAACCACAAGCAATACCGCCAGCATTTAGGAATGCAGATGATCCCTTGGGGGGGGGGAGGGGGGGGGCGCAAAAAAGCATATGCTTTAAAAAAAATAAAAAACGAATCCTGGCTTCCAGCAATGAGGCAATCTGGGCTGCCACCCACTGTGAGATGATCCCTGGCCAGTCCTCCCTCACCTGGACAGTCACAGCAACCCTAACCCTTCTCCAGCTTCCTCTCTTACAGCACCTAGCTCTGCACTTTCAACACAGCAGCTGAAAATAGCGCCATTGCAATGGTGACATCCACTCATAGTGCATTTCCGTTTACAGTTTACAACCCTGTTTGTAATCCCATTGCCCTTAAGATGCAGGACCGACTGGACTCCTGGCCATACTGGCAAGGCCCCATCTGGCCCCTCTCTCTGCAGTCCTGTACTTACCCCGACATTCCACTCTTTACGTTGCCCCTAAGCTGAGCTTGCTTCTGCAGCCCTAAAAATTTATTTTCTCCCCATCGCACAAGCATGTCTTTCTATCTAACATGCATTTACACCAGCTCTTTACCTGATCGAGCCCTGCTTATTCTTCAGTTTCAGCTTGGATGTCATGTCTTCCCAAGAAGCCTTTCCTGACCGTCTTGGGTATGACATAGAGTAGGAAGTCTCATATATACTACAGGGTCCCCTTCTGATGAATTGTCTAGACCTGTACATCTAATATGGGGTGTGTGTGTATGTACATCCAATATGGTGTATGCGTGTATAATATATATATATATCTTTTATTTCGAGGCAGGGTCTTGCTCTGTCACCCAGGCTAGAGTGCAATGGTGTGATCACGGCTCACAGCAGCCTCGACCTTCTGGAATCAAGCAATCCTCCTTATCTTGGCCCCCTGAGGAGCTAGGACTACAGGCACATGCCCCCATGTCTGACTAATTTTTGTATTTTTTATAGAGACGAGTTTTCACTATGTTGCCCAAGCTCGTCTCAAACTCCTGGGCTCAAGTGTTCCATCTGCCTCAGTCTCCCAAAGTGCTGGGATTATAGGAATGAGCCACTAAGCCCAGCTACGAGGCTAGAGAGCAGCTCAGGTAGGCAGAATCCTTAAATCTACTCCCCACCCAAGATTCCCTACCCTAATCCCTGGCACAGGGGGTGGAAACATATCAGGCCACATTTACCATAAAGTTACCTTACAGATGTAGCTACTAATCAGTTGACTTTAGTCTAAAGGGAGATTATCAACTGGGTGAGGAGGCACATGCCTGTAATCCCAGCACTTTGTGAGGCTGAGGTGTGTGGATCTTTTGAGCCCAGAAGTTGGAGACCAGCCTGGGCAACATGGCAAATACCTGTCTTCACAATAAAAGTTAAAAATTAACTGGGCATGGTGGCATGCACCTACAAGTCCAGCTACTTGAGAGGCTGAGGTGGGAGGATCAACTGAGCTGGGGAGGTCAAGGCTGCAGTAAACTGTGATTGTGCCACCCCAGCCTGGGTGACAGAGTGAGACCTCGTCTAAAATAAAAAATAAAAAATTTTTATAAAGAGCGATTATCTGAGCAGACCGAATTTAATGACAGAAGCCCTTTAATAGCAGAGACTTTTCTTTGCTGTAGCAGAAGAGAAAGTTAGGGAAATTTGAAACCAGGGGGGTTGGCTGTGCTGTGATGGAAGGAGCCACAGGGCAAGGATCTGAGAGCTTCCTATCGGATGTGAGAAAGGCACTCAGGTGATCATCAGCAAAGGAACAAGGACTGCAGTCCTACGACCACTAGGAAATGAATTCTGTCAACAACCCAAAGGAACTTAAAGGTGAATGCTTCCTGGAGCCTTCAGATTAAAGTCCAGCAAAGTCCACCTTGACTTTGGCTTTATGAAATCCTAAGCAGAGAATCCAGTTGAGCCCACCTGGACTTCTGTCCTACCTACAAAACTGTGAGCTAATAAATGGGTGTTATTTTCCACCACCACATTTTATGGTAATTTGTTATGTAGCAGTAGAAGACTAATACAGCTCTTCTTTGGGCCAGGCAATGTGCTTGGTGCCTGGAATATAATAGTGAGAAAAACGGACAAGGTCCATGCCTTCATGGAGCCTGCATAGTTGGGAGGAAGACAGTCAACAGATAGACACACAGGTCAACAAATGAATGAAAATTTAAACGTTTGCACCATGAAGGAAAGGAACAGGGAACTGTGATGGGGATGCTTAAAATGTATCAAGTGACTGATGATAATTATAATGTCAATCTTTATTTTCTTTTGAGAGGAAAAGATGTCCACTACTTTTCAGTGGAAAAAGCAGATTACCATTTTATATGCATAGTTCTGTCTCATTTTTGCATCAACATGCACATAAAAAAATTTACAAGTGTATACACTAGAATATTATTAATATTTCTCTCTGGGTGGTGTTTTTCAAATTTTCTTCTTTAGTTAATTTTTTTTTTTTTTTTTTTGAGATGAAGTCTCTCTCTGCTGCCAGGTTGGAGTGCGATGGCGCCATCTTGGCTCACTGGAACCTCTGCCTCCCGGGTTCAAGCAATTTTCCTGCCTCAGCCTCCCAAGTAGCTGGAACTACAGGCGTGAGCCATGGTGCCGAGCCATTAAATTTTTCTCCTCTAGACATTTCTTTTTGGACTTTTTGGATTTTTTTTAAAACGAAGAATATACAAATAGCATCATACTGAAATATAAAGCTATTTTCTTTGTGGGGAGAAATCAGT